GAAGTTGTCAAATTTGGAGCTTTAAGTTTAGGTTGTGAAGCCTGGATGTTGAGGTACCCATAAGTTTGCGCTGGAATGTCAATTGGACTTGAGATTTGGTGGGATTGTTGAGTTTAGCTGGACGCATATGCTTGAAAAGTCTGAGACAAAACAATGGTGTTTTGAAGAAGGTGTCAAATTTGAAGCTTAAAGTTTAGGTTGTGGAGGCTAGATGTTGCGATACTCATATGTTCGCGCTAGAGTGTCATTTGGAGCTCAAATTTTGTGAAGTGATGAACGTCGGCAAAACGCACTAGCTTTTTTAGCGAGTAGTGATGGGTAGTATTTTTGCTAAGTTATTTGGCAAATTGATGGAGTCAAAGTTGAGCACATGGGCTGAATCTTGTTAGTAGAGAGTGCGGTTGCAAGTTGGTTTTTGTTCTACATTCAACACTATAGATCACTCAACACTATAGCTAGTTTTGCGTGTTTTACGGAAAAATTCTAAGGCAAATGAAAAAGCTTTGTTTTGTGATCTCATCAATTTCAAGAAAGCTTTTGACGTAGTACATCATGAACTTTTATGGAGGAGATTGCAAACCATTGGAGTACCATTAGATCCTTTAGCAACTATGGCCAGGATTTGACAAGCATGGCTGAAAATCACATGGTCATCCCAATAAGGCGCCACAAAACATCGGAGCTACGCCTTGACATTTAGACTTGAGCATACTTGATTTTTTGGGGGTCATCTTGATGTGTCAAGAAAAAAATCGGTGGATTCTCAAAACTATTTTTCAAGGTTTGACGGTCAAATTGCTTCACTGGTTGTGCTAACGTATCCTTTTGAGTCCTTTTGAATATCGACTTTGCCATGGCTTGCATGCACATTTATGGACAAATGAAACATGGATTTGGGTCTCTTAAAATTTACATTCAACTTGTGCTCATCCCCAACCACTCTAGGAACTTCTCCCCCAACTCAACACCCGTAGGTTCCTCGACAACAATTGCATGCATTGGTTACTCATCATCTTCTGATGAATCAGCATCATAGAAAGCATGCTCATTTGGGCCATTGTCCTTAACGTCTTGATCAAGATTTACGCTGTCATCATCATCTGTGTTTCCATCATACTCAAGAGCATTCACAGCTTAGAATAATGATGGCAACTTGAAGTTCTGAAGCTTATGATGATACAATTCCTCTAACTGTAAATAATCAAAATTCTCCCAAGACTTGGCCAAAATCTTGCTCCGAATGAGGGCATCAATTGTTTTGATACGCAACCTATTCATAAGCTTGGTCTTGATATTATTGTGCAAAGAAAAACCTCGTTCGGCAATGGCACTGTTGAGGAGGTGACAAGATAGAGATACACAAATTAAAGCATATAGCCTAGCCCCAGCCCATGATCATCATGAATGTTCCTCTAGACAAGAAGTAACTCTGCATGCGGATACTTGGCCGCTAATCACATCATGTGCTTCATTCTCAAAAACTCTTTGTTGACCTGAGACAATACGGATGAGTCAACGGAAATAACTTCTTTCTTTTTTTCCTATTGCAAAAAATGACCCACAGAATGTAGGGCATGCACTGGAAGATTTTGTCCACCCACTCCAACATCACAGCCCACTTTGAAATGGGCAAATTCTCTAAGTCAACTAGCAGCGCTAGAGAAAACGCGGTGTGCAAAAATTTATTTGTTGCCGTTTGTGAATGAGACTCAACTATTATTCTGCTCTTTTGAAATCCTTGCCGCTACTTCACTTTTGACGCGGCTGCCTTATGCTTTGTCGATGAAGCAAGGTCGCAGACATAGCCTACATAAGAAAACATTAGATCACACCCATGTAAAAACCTCCATACATTGTAGTATCCGCTTTGCACTTATACAAGTGTTAAAATATTTGAAAACATATCTATACTCACTTGCATATTTGCAAACAGCGCCGATCTTGAAGCCAAAGTTTTTTGCGGCTTGTGCTTTTGTGCAAATGGAGCAGCTTATCATGAGATTCCCATCTTCTTTCCTGCCTACGAATGTAGCCCAGACATACTTCTCCATCCAACTTTGCACCGTCAAATATAAGGCAGCATTCTTCTTATTGGCATTAGATGTTGTGGTGTATTGCCACTTCCTGCCTGCCCGCTTGGCTTCTTGTTTGAAAATAGAGGCAAGAAATTGCTCATATATGGTTGAGATCACTAGGCTCTATGTTGCTTCAAAAACATTTGCAAATAATATTTTCTTACCCGTTGCAGCAAAAGCTGGACGCCTTAATCTGCAACGTTGTAATCAAAGCACAACTAGGTTTGCTCAAGGTCGAGCTCAGATTGATTGGTGATATTTTGAGAAGCACAAAGTAATGGACTATCCTACCGCTGCATCTCGCACATTGCCGCAGAGTTAACTCGGGAACTCGACATTTGTTAAGAGCTACAGCCTAGCTGCAAGTAAGAGGGCTATTGGTTGAAGCACCATTTGAGCTAAGCTTTGCAGATGCGCTGTCACCTCCAACAAGCTGACATTCGATTCAACATTGATAAAAGCCTTACATATGATGAAGCTGAGATGATCAAGTCATGTTTAAATTATTGCATTGTACCTTGCAAAGAGATGGGCTGCTGTGTAGGTCTTGTCAACCCCAGACTCTGTGTGAGTCGCTCCAATACGCCAGCAAATTTGCTACGTTTCTTCGTTTGATGTTATGTAGGGCTGGATTCTTGTTGTGGAGATATCACTTTTTGAATAGCAACTGCAACACTTTGCAAGGGGGAGCTATTGATTGCTGGCCGTGAAGGTCCGGCTTTGCCAACCATGTTGTCGACTGTATAAAAATGCTTTGCTCATACAAAGAATATGAGAGCGTATATATTGAAAGCAAAATATGCTCTTAAGAAAGTAGTACACTAGATGCGTGTTTGGCTACATGATATGCCCGCTTGAATAGAGTCAATCGATATAGATGACTCATTAATTACATATTCGTGAGTGGAAGAGTGAAGAAATTGCTTTTCCGCAGGACGAGCAGTGGATTGAAAGCTCTTCAGTGAGCTATTTACTTGTGAGTGCTCCCAAATTTCATACAATAAAGTGACATTTACAAGGAAGTGTCCTTGGGTTCTACCCTAAAAAGCCTCGGGGTGTAGCCTCTTGTTAGCAAGAGAAGTTGGTTTCAAAGCTATATATTCATTGCTAATGGATGTAAAAGAGCTCATCTAGTGTCTTGTAGTCTTAGAAAATTCTCACTCAGGAGCTTAGTGTTTCATGTCACTTTATATGGAAACACAAGTGTGGGCTCTTGGTTGTAAGAAGATAGTTTGGCAGCGTTTGGAGAGCGTGCAAAAGATCTTCTTACAAGAAGAATGGGATGTGAGAATCCAAACTTCATGTGCTATTCTTCTTATGAAAACATGTTATCTACCTTTTGAGTCTCAAGCTTTCTTCTTGACTATAACTTACATCAGAAGAATGTTATCTCTTGCTACTTCTTGGCTTTTCAAGCTAAGCGTGCAACATGTTCCAAAAGATGATTTGCAGATGTCGTGACTTGGTCTTTGAGTTGGAATGTGACGGAACTCGGTTGGGATTTCAACTTATGGCACTTCGTGAGCGTATTAAGGAAGAATTTCTTAGCATTATTTGGAGCATACGAAACACTAAAATGGAGTTTTATCAACTTCATGTGAATCCTATGCTTGTTTATTGTGAACAAGTATGCATACTTGCGGAGATCTCTACATCTTTATATCATATTATTGCTTTGCATAAAACATGGTCTCATAGTCTTAGAATTGAGTAAGGTCATTGGTTGGACATTGACAGTAATGAACGTATTTGTAGGCTATGTGATGGGAGAAAATTTGAGTATGAAGAGATCTGTTTGTTATTTGTATTAGATATATAGAGATTATAATGTTTCATAAAATTGTTGTTGAGAATTTTTATTCTTTATTATAACTTGAGCTTTATGATTTAGGTTGTTTTATAAGTAATATCATTAGTTATTGTTCTAGTGCTCTAGGCATTAGCTAGGTAGTTATTTTGGTTCTCTCCTAGTTTGGAGTTGGATTGTTTAAATTGTGTTTTTCAGACTTTTGATCTTTTGGGTCCTATAGGCTTGATCTAATTATCATTTACCATAAAATTATAAGCAAATAATTTAAATTATAGTACAAACATTAATAAAAAAATTCATGTCAATAAAAAAGAAAATGATGTAATGATACTTTACTTGGAATTCAATGTCAAATTTTTGAATTTATATTTAAAATAAATATATTGATAAAATATATTGATTTAAAAATGGCTAAATTTGATGAATAAAATATCATTCAAAGCATAATTTGAATAGTTTGAAATAGGGTTCATGATCTCAAATCATTGTGATAGAATTATTTAGAAAGTCATTCGTTACATTTTCACATAGAGATCAAAATTTTCTAAGTATTAGACATAAAAAAACCATTGATGTAATTATCATGCTTATAAATTTTTTTACAAAAGATCTGCTCAAACTTTAGAAATGTGTGTTCAATAATGTTACATATCTGATATTGAATATTTTTGAATTTATAAAATCTGAATTAAATATATGTTGGTTTTGAAATATTGGTTTCTATATCTTACATAGAAATGTGATCACATTTGTATAGATTTGTTATAGTTAAATTAAATCAGGTATCTACTGATCAGATACTTAATTCGCTACACATTCTTTTTTTGCAACAGCGAGATTAGACTACTACATGCAACAAGAAGCAAAGAATCCAGTAATGTATGATGTGTATTAGTGATGTTTACTAATATAGCTGTACGTGTAACAATTTACACTTTTGCAGTAAAATAAGCGACAGGCTACGAAACAAAAATGAACAAAATGTAAAGAGAGACTTTGCAGAGAGACTAGGTGTCCGATTCCACTAATTAGCGATTTCATGGAAAATGTGTATATACGGAAGACTGTTCATTCCCTGATTGACAATGGAGCTATGAACACAACCTCCGTAGTGTTTGTTTGGCGTGGGCGGCCGTGATTTCTAAAACACAAATTCGCGGACCATTGCAGCACATGAAATCAGAGAGAAAATGTTGCCGGTGGAGGATTTTTGGTCCTCGATGATTAGACAGGAACAGAGCAGTACGTGGATTGAAAGAGCAGGGTGATAGGGAGATGACTAAAAGTTGAATCATTGTCGGGAATGCGATGCAATCAATCCTTGAAATCCGATTGCGGTGAAAACGAGGGAACCGGTTGCCTCGTTCAAGGCGTGAGATTTGTCAGCCAATGAGGTTCCCATGATTTTGCTCGTCTGGTCTGATCAGAGTACCAGGATGATGAAACTGGAATTGCAGGTGTATCCACTTTCCTAGAACACTCGGGCTGCTGGCCGGCTGGCGGGCTGTGTGCGTGAATCCGAGCAAATCGGAGCAAGAGCTGGATATCTTGCTTCGACCCATGTTTAGACTGAAGCAAGTGGCAGAGTATATGAAGTTCTAGGAATCTGTGCTGCTGCTGCTCCTCTGGGACTCAAACTGAAGAATCATGAAGGGAGGCTCTTTGTGCTGCGTGTGGAGTCGCGTAAGAGCCATTGGCTCTGTTCAGAAGAGGAGTCTGTTTTCTTCTGCTGGTCTGCCCTCTTCTACAGGCTCGGCAGAAAGTCCCAGTGAGCTCTCCATCTTCCGCTGATTCATTTGTTTGCGTTTGTCTTCTCCATGAGCTCGTAGGTAAGTGTTGGTTGATCCACATTGTAGAGAGGAATGAGCTTGCGTGGCCGTGAATGGAGGACTGCAGAAGATTTTGAGTTCGTGTTACTAATGAGGCACCTAAGTCGGTAGGACAGGCTGTTCAGATACACATTGACGACGATCTGAACGGAGGACGAGGTTGTGACCTAGATTAGTCGATGAGAAATTTGAGTATCCAGTTTTGTTTGTGCTTGAAGCTCAAAGAATGTGAGTGAGAGCTTTGTAGAGATTCTGAGCTGCTCTGGATTCGATGATCCTGTCAAAAGGGATCACAAGCAGCTTGGATCGACAACATAGAAATTTCAGTGGGACCAGTCACAAGGGCCTACGGGAACTGAATTCCGCGACGCGAGTGCTGAGCTTCGGCGATGGAAGTAATGGAGCCCTGGGACACGACGCTGAGGGATATGCAAGTGATGTGTTCGAACCCGTGCCTGTGCACGGGCTGCCTCCGAACATTGTCAAAGTCGCAGCTGGACACTACCACTCTCTGGCTGTCACCGACGATGGCCAGGTCTGGGCCTGGGGAAGAAATGCAGAGGGCCAGCTCGGTCGTCGTGTGGGTAATTCCAGGTGTGCCGAACCTCAGAGAGATCACTGATTCATGACTTGTGAGATATGACACTTCCTGGCCATGCAAAAGTTCTGACATAGAGTTTCACTTTGTAGAAATTCATCCCTGGTGGGAACAATTGCCTTCTTAAGCATGCATGAATACTGCTGAGTAAGTGTGATAAGACGATTGTCTTTATCATCTGAGCTCTTGTATCCACTTGTAAGACGTGAGCAGGTATACCAGCGATAGTTGTATGAATTGAATGTGCTGTGTGCCTAGCAGGGAGGATTGGCGCAGACCTCGGAGAGTTGAAGGGTTGGAGGACGTGCATATAAAAGATGTGGCGGCTTCTGGAGTAGTCTCCATGGCCATTGCAAACGATGGCTCTCTCTGGTCCTGGGGATCCTCAAAACGGGGCCAGTTGGGACTGGCACCCAACGTGGTCCAGTCTCTACTTCCTCAACGAGTGGAGAGTCTACAAGGCCAGCAAATGTCCCAGGTGCTTAGGTAGTGCAGCCGTTACCATAAGAGAGGAATGCTATAAAGAGTCTACAAATTCTAATTGCCACTCATTAAATGAGAAACATTCCAATAGATGTATCATGGTTCTCATTATAGACAATGATTTCTCAAGCAAGAACAAGAGTTTACCAGTTTTCCTGACATTAGATGCTGGTTTTGACCTCTTTTGAGAAAGGAGACTCCGTAATCAGAAACTGCCAGCTTGTAGAAGTTTCTCTTTTCTGCCCGTCCCTCCTATATACCTCGAAGAATTAATGCGAACAGCTTCATGCAGGTTGCGTTAGGATGGGGTCATGGTCTAGCTTGCACCAGCGAAGGTGAGTTGTTTGCATGGGGATACGGGGAAGATGGGCGTCTAGGATTCAACGCGTTTGACGTTGCGAAGGAGGTAAAACTCGAGAAGAGGATGCCATCTCATACGTCATCCAAACCAGCGGGAGCTGTGGACATTGAAACCGAAAAGTTGCTGGAGAAGGAAAAGACAGCTGTTGCTATCTGGCGACCACATCGTGTTGAGGCCCTGGCACATGAAAGAGTAAGAAGTGTAGCGTGTGGTATGGATCACTCACTTTCACTCACTGGTATGTACCTCTTGTCTTCCTTCATTCAAAATCTGCCTCCACGAAGTTAATGTAGCATAATGCGTGAAAGATGGACGCAGGTATACTGCTAGAGTCTATTCTCGAATGAAGTTGATCGGTTTCGTTGACCAGAACAGTATAGATAAGGGTTACCGAGACAGATTTGCCAACAGAAAGTGCGGATGAACTACTTGGAGAATTGGCCAGGATAGTCCGTGCTTCATCTTGTGGTGTGGATTACTTGCATTTTCACCCGCGCTGTTCGACACAAAGCCCTCTGCATCGTATAAGACATCGTTTTGGGGTTGGGGGTGATCTAATGAAAAGTTCCGTCACCTCAAGAATTGGTGATAAATTGGGTTGGATAGTTCTCATCTCAAATTTGATTTGTCTCTCCTGCTGCTGCTGTGTACAGATAATGGAGACATTTATTCTTTTGGTGATAACAGTCTCGGGCAGCTAGGGAGGCCAGTCAACGAAGCGCCTATTGGAACCGTCGCTTTTCCTGACGAATATCCTCAGGCGATTGTCATAGCAGCAGGACTTGGTCACTCCTTGGCAATATTATCGAAGCCTTATACAAGTGTTGCACTTTCAAATTCTAGTGGTGATTTGTATTCATGGGGATGGAACAAGGCCTCCCAGCTAGGAAGGGATGGTGAGTCCGACCGCCCAGGATTGGTTGTAGGATTGGATGAAGAAATGCTGATTGCAGCAAAAGGTGGCAGGGTGCATTCTGTTGGTCTTACCTCAAATCGTGAAGTCTGTGTCTGGGGGAGTGGAAAGAATGGTAGACTCGGTCTCGGCAGCTCCGCTGATGAACCGTATCCTTTTCCTATAGAGAGTCTGAACGGTGTATCCGTCCTCCAGCTTGCTTGTGGTTTTGATCACTCTCTTCTGCTTGTAAGGTCCACAGGGTAGAAAGGATGAGATTGTTTGTCTCAGAAGAATGGAATTCGCTCTAACTTTACGTCAGAAATATCATTTGGCGGTCTTTTATTTCTTAACTTCTAAAAGTGGATTCGCATTTCGCCGTCTGTATAGAACAAATCCTGCTTTCCCTGGTCTGATCTTTAAATCCACAGTGTTTTGCGTACCCTCCACACCAACCGACATGGCGTTTAGTATCAGCTCATGCATTTTCCTCTCATATGATCAGTTGAGGTTTCTGTATGCGGTAGGAGTCATAAAGGAAGGTTCCTTGTCTGTCATGCTTCTTCCGCTTTGCTGCCACTTTCTCCGACTTCCTTTATCTTGATGTTGCTGGATATGCGGACTGCAGAAGAGGGCAAAGTAATAAGGGCCTGAGAGTCAGCACTGACGCGAGCACAGAAAAGTACCTGCAAAACTCGATCTACTTTATTCTCAAATCTTTTTGACCTTGGAGATTGAAGAAGATATTAAGATGAAGATACTGTTCGCTTTACTTCTGGAAGCTTTGCATTTAAAGAAAGAGTATGTACAGGCAATGCGGATTTCATGTTTGAGAAATTTTCATCATCTGCCCTTTCCTCCATACAATGGTCATGGATGACCTCGATTCAAGGACCACAGAATCATACTTTTATGGCTGTAAAGGCCGCAAAATCCTAACGCTTATCACAAGATTGGAGAGTATTGTGGCATAACTGCCCTAGGAATGATTCCTGCTAGTGTCGAATGATTAGCTCTTGTTCTTATTCGATAAAAAAGCAGACATCCGGATGCTTTGGAGTACAACACTTCCATTACTTCTGTGAGGTGTCCAGCTTTCGTACCTTTTAGGCAGGTGAGGCTATCATCCCTCGATGTTTTGGTCAAGGATACTGAATACACTAGTATCTCGCCCAAATGCTGGTGGGGCTGTTGAGAGTAGCATCACCCTAAGGCAGAATGTTTTCGTGGACAATGAGCACGATCTGGGGAGCAAGCACGACCTCAAGCTAAGGGCAAATCTACGCGTGTATCTCACCGATTACGAGTCGGTGTACACCCGCTTAATAATAGCTCAGAATGTGCGCTAGTCAACAGCTGCAGATCTTCCTACTGTCATGACGGCGAGTGTGGAGCCGAGGACTTATTTCTTCAGTCATCCCTTGGTCCTTGCAATTTCCAACCCAATTTTCTCAGACACTCGGGAACAGGAATCTTACAAATCTGCAAACTCATCCTCCGCTCGTGTTAGTCGGAGATGCGTTTTTGAACGACCCCCACACGGAAGTCAAGGTGGCCAGGCCGTCATCATGCTTGATTCTGCAAAGACAACGCCAACAGCATTCGCATTCTCTACGGGTCGTGCATCAAAAGATTGAATCATGTATACATGGTTACAGGGGATGCTAGTAAGCTACAGCACCGAAGTACCACAATTCCGAACTTTTTTACCCTCTGAGCTCTAGTATTGCGGATGGTGGATCTTACCTGGAGCTCAGCGTGAATTTGTTATCTCATGAATTTCAACCTGATGTCAGACCTCATAGGGAGTGAGGTCCTTCGAACTCGTTTTCCTCAATATCTGAGATCTTTAAATGAAAAGTGAGTGCGCCAGGCTTTTCATGCAGCCCACAGGAACTGTAGTGAAGACTACTGAGCAACAGAAGACAAAGTCACCGTAATCTGCCCAGAAATCTTAGTGAGATTATTCCCAACTCCCCATAGACCTACCACTTGGGACCGAATTGAGCAACTGCGCCTTGTATCTGACGTCATGTTGGAAGCCGCAGCTCGTTGACGCAGAAATACCTTCTCGACCTCATGAACGGCCAGGTAGAATCTGTTGAACTATTTTTACTATTAACTTGGTAAACTGCTTCCATCCTTCTCACCCCGGGTGCTGCAGTTGCGGTAGCACGTAAAATGCTCTACTGCAACAGACTCAAAGGTGTGCACAATCCACAGCCGTTAGCCTTGCAGAGACGTGAACCACGCGCTAAAACGAAAGCGGTATAGTGAGGAGGAATATGTCTTGGCTGCTCGCAAGTGTGCATTATGTTGTATACATTCCTACATGATTTTGAGGTGTGTTGGGATTTTAAAAGCTGGTCTGTTTCAAGGTACCATTCATAGGCGAAGAAAGCTGGGATGTGCATACCACGCAAGGCCCATCAACTGAATATAGGAATGCAAAGAATTTAAAGCCAGAGAAAATGGCTTGAAAGGGGCACATGTCATTGCCAATGTTTTCTGTTCTGTTAAGTAATCGCATAAGCCTCGAATAGAGTAATTTGGTTTGGCACTTCGTTTAAATTTTCTCAGCTGTGAAATTAATTTCAAGACTTCAAGGAAGTGCCATACAACAGTCTAGATCTGGTTGACGTCCAGGTGCACGACAGGATATCAGCACTGGGCGTTTGGTGCAATGGATATGAACTCCTACTGCTTGGCTCTCTTCTTTTGAGTTTTGTTTATTCCAATTCTTCTTTTCCCCCTTTTTGTGTACTTTTTCGGTCTCTCGCCGTCCCTGTACACTTTATTTTCTTTTCCTGCATGATTGTGTCAAAGCTTGGGCATGTCTCAATGGATGATTGAGACATGCCCAAGTCCAAAAGCCCAGAAAAATAGAGCAGAATAAAGCCCAAGCAGAAAATGAGCTTTTTCCATTCAATCATCATCATACCAATCAATAAGTTTTTTTATTATTTTTTCCTGCTTGAGCTTTATTCTGCTCAGACCTTTAGTATGTCTTCACTTTTCTTTTCTGCCTCCTATAGTTATCCCTGTTTTATGATAAGCATTGCATCTCCCACAACATCGTCCAAAGAGAATTTTCGATCGAGCTGGATATTCTGCCTCTAGAGGCAATATTACTTTCCGTGAACTGGACTGTTATGTCGAGAACTTTTCTCGCAGAGGACAATGGCAGCCGAGTATAAAATCACAAGTAGAATTTTTTTTAACCGCCGAAGGAAGATAGAGAAGAACTCTGGCCCTTCTATCTGACCTCTGCAGACACGAATACCGTCCTGGGAGAGCTCGTTGCCCATGCTGAACCGGACCCGAAGAGAACACCGCTTTGCACTCCTTGAGGTGGTGACTACTAAATCGGGACGTTTCTTAGATTCGATTCACAAGAACATTGATTCTTGTTGTTTCATGTTAGCTGTCCATACCTGCATCACGAGAGTCCCTGCCAAGCTTGGTCTTCTCGGGGGATCATATCCGTAACTTGCCATCTAAGCAAACGACAGGCCAGTGAGGACAATTGAGCGTGTGATACTCGGCAAAGGGCTTTAAGAGTAGTAAGTAAGTCTGGGCTGGAAACGAATTCTCGCCCCAAGATTCATGCCAAATTATAGACGTCGCAGGCACAGGGCGGGAGTATGGGAGTGAGAAGGAAGTATGAGAGGTGTGCAGAAGTGATCACAGTAAAGAAAACCTCAGACATGCGCTTTCTTCAAAGAACCCAAAAATTCACATCCCCTGGATTTTTCAGTTCTTTCTAATCTCGGCGGGTGGACTGATCTTGCTTCTTGGGGTGTCACCAAAAGGAAAAAATGATCAAGTACGGTAGTGAGAAGGAAGGATGAGTTGAAGGATGAAGGAGGAGTATCAGTATTCTGTCATTACTGTGTTTGAAAGATCATTCTGACATAAACCGAGAAATTATCTGAGAGAGCCGAATTTAGAAACTTCATGATCCCTAAATCCATTCGATAAGTCGATGTCAGAAAGCAGTCAAAGCAATGTTCGTTATTTTCAACTGCTATGGTAGACTCATGAGTAGGGCGGGCCAGAAATATATCACTGACGATCTGGTCAATATTGGGCCAGCAGCTAATGCTGATGTGTGTGCAAGGCAGAGGCCGAAGTCATGAGAGTCAAATCAGAGATTCCGAGAGAGCATCTTTGCCATACTGGACTCAGAAGAAAAAACCTGTGCTCCCATGCCTTGCCTATATGGACGCAAACAAAACAGCTAATATTGTCGGATCGTCGTATGGGAGAGCATCTCTCCCGTGACGAATTGATGCTGGTCGCATCATTGCTTCTCTACCTGTTCAGAGTTGCAGTCGGGAAGCAAAACATTCTCTTTAATGCGTATCTGATATGGAGTCTGCACAACCTCTCAGATGGAGCAGATACCTAGAGGCGATGTGCTGCAATGTCAGTTCAGATTACTGAAACCCCTCAATCGACTCCAGGATACTCTACTTCTGCAGCTGCTGCAAATGGTAAGAACGACTGCAAACAGGCAGAGAAATCGCAGTGAAAGCTATGTGGTCGCAACCTCCTGGAAACAAGCCTAATGTGCGACGAGGTTCACCACGTAATAAAATGGACAACTGTAAATCCCTGTCCAACTCCGACGTCTACGACCTTGCAACTCCTCAAGAGTTCAGTGCACTATGATGTGGTGCACGAGTCCAAAGCAATGCAGTGTAGTCTGTAATGGACATGTGTGGCGGCTACAAAAATTTGGAGGTACAGTAATTAACCAGTCAGATCACAGAAAGGTGTACGATGTGATCTTCGTGTGACTCGATTCATCTGTTTTCTCCTCGAGACTTCACCTGTTCCGGCTAGAAGATCCTTCTTTCCCAGACACTGATCAGATGCAAACTGGGTATCTCAGGAAGCGCACAAGGTCGTGCTCCTCTTCTTGCCTTAAGCTTATGCTTGACCTACACACGTGACGTCCGAGGGAATGCAACTTACTCCTCGTCCGTGGTCCCTCCCCGAAAGTGAGCTCAAGCGTTTGAGGGAGATCTCACAACTTTGTTTGTCAGCCGTGACTACTGATAGGTGACCGGGAAGAGGACATTTCAGATTCTGTCCTGGCGTGTTCGGAACTGAGCAGTCATCAGGGTCACGAACCCACCCAAGATTTACGGACAGAACGGGAAGGGAAGGGAAGGGAAGGGAAAGGAAAGGATCCATCGGGATGAGATGAGTGACGATGGTACACTTTACCTCTTGGACTAAGTAAGCTCGGTAAAAGAAGCGTTCACCAGGTGGACAACGAGAGAAAAACAGTAGACGGATCAAGAGCGAAGTGCCCCACCAGGAGGGCGTGATACTGCTTTCGAGCCTCGAGTGGGTGGAGTGGCGCAGAGAGTACAGGCTCAGCAACAGCAGCAACAGCAGTCGTCTCAGAGGTGGCCACTGCCAGAGTCCGAGCAAAAGATCCCCCGAACAGAGCAGAGCAGCTCAGAGCAGCTCAGGACCCATGAGGATGAGGCAGAATGATGGGTGGCAGTCAGCTCGATCACAGTACCAGAACGTACACATCTTAGATCCCCATCGTGGCTTCTGAAAAGAAAGGTCGTGATATCCACATGCTTCCTGCGTGCCCCGCCCCGTCCTCGGCATCCAGATGGAGCGAACCCGAACGAGGGCAGGGCAGGGCAGGGCAGAGCTGACCGGAGCAGAGGGTGGTGAGCAGCCAGGTGTATGTGGGTGGGTCAGCCTACTTTGATGCTTAGAAGTTTGAAGTGAGCCGATGACCCAGACCAGAGACCAGAGACCTGCAGGTGTCCCTCGCCTGAGAACACCACACCCCCGCAGCACACGGATGCGGCTGCTGGTTGCTGCAGGTCACAACGGTCCCTATATTTAGTATCCGCCAAACGGATGAACCTTTCTTCGAGTCAAGCCTTTTTGGCTCCGTTTACTCAGGGACTTCCGTTCTTCTTTGCGGTCCCGGTACCTGTACCTTTCCTTACGTCCATACGGGACCGATCAGTCGGGTTAGATGATGATGATGATTCTTTAGATGCTCGACTTCGATTAACACGAGCCCAGTGTTGTGAGAAACTTGCCGTGTATAAAAGCTCATATGGATTCGTCTATGTGCCTTCCTAGGCAAAGCCAGAGGAATATTTGACGGCTGCTCATACTTTGCGATGCGTCTACGGCATTTTAAGCTAGATCTCTAACTTTGAGTTGACATCGGTCAATAACCATATTGTTGACTCTAAATTTGACTAGGCATGCACAATCACTTTTGAGAAAGTCTTCGCAGTTCTGATAAGTTTGGTTTTTTGAATCTCCATTATACCAGGAGTTTGAGAAAGCGACATTTTTTATTAGATCCAATTTGTTGTGATGATTTTTTATATGGGCTCATAATTGTTAAGAGAAAGATGTCAATTAATCTTGTCTGTTTCAAGAATGAGATACAGATATCGTGCGGGGAGCACAGAAAATCGCCAGCAGTTCTGCACTCATAACATGGTGCAAGGCACGGAAGTCGATGGTGAATGGATTGCAAGACCTAGGCGAATGGAAACAACTCTGTTGTCCACAAGGCCTTCGGAAAAATTATATCACCTTGAATGTGTGAGATATTCATTGTGGGGCCTTGCTTGCCCGCAACACATCTTTCTTATATGGCCGGTAGTAACCAACAAAATAGTTTGCAAAACTAAAACAAAAGAAAGTCTTCTATTATTATACATGACATTCGAATGGTATATATGCACTGCCATTGAATAATTTACAGAATGAATTTGGAATGTATACAAACTTCTATTCGCTAGAAGTTTGTATACAATATTGCCTTTTCGAGAGCAGTATGTTCAAATATATTATCTGACACCACACCAATTTTTCAGAAAACACTTTCTTATGATAGCATTCTTAAATCAACTAAATATCAGTAATATGTTCGCGTTATGTAGTAAATTATTTACCTTCCATTTTTTTGATAAATTTTGAAATATTATATATATATATATATATATATATATATATTGTGAATAATATTATATATAAATGATTTTAGTAGGTGACATTTGATATATAATAAATTAAATTTCACCTAGAACGAACGATAAGAGCAAGCACTATCAGGGTTTTGAAAAATAAATAAAAAAACAGTAATTTTCCTTAAACAGAACTTGAACCCAATATTTTGCACAACTTATGAACTACTTTTTTTGTATTTACATGTGCAGATGAAAAAAAACATGTACGATTCTATTGCAAATTATTGACAAAGTACAATCAGGTTTTGTCCCCTTAATGATTATCTAAAATTCAGCTGTCAAAAATTCTTATTTGAATAAAAGGCATGGACATGGAATTTTTGTTTATTTCAAAGTAACTGTAAGTATATGAGATTATATACAAGCATTACTCATTCATTTGTTATAAAAACCAGATTTGAAAGTTTTTATCAAAATACAGTGAGATTACGCTTGTAATCCAATGACACGAATATTGAAAACTATCTCACTCATTTTATTGCGAAAGTCAATTTTGGATATAATCTCACTACATAATTCATTATTATGACTTAAATAGCATAGACTAGTATGTTTATGAATCCGTTTAAATTCAACGATTTTGAATGTCTTGAGATGTGATACAAAGTTGCCTCTTCACATCGTTGCCTTATGTTGGCACCCTTAAGACAGTAGCAGCTGATATTTGTGAATTGCTAGCCATTTACACACAACTGGATGAATAGTAAATTTTTTTTTGCAAAGTTTATGCTGATCATATGAACTCTAAGGCAATTATATAATCAAAAAACTGTGTAAATTATTTTTTAAGATTAAAATCAGATATCAAAAGAAACTAGAATAGAAAAATAATATTATTTACATGTGCCCATATTTGGAATAATATTATAATTCTTATCAATGAATGAAAATTTTTTAGTATCGTTTGGACTTTCGCAAATTTCTCATCTTAGTTTAGTTAATTCATCATGTATCGCATTATAGTGCGTGATAAATAGGCCCAAATACTGAATAAGAGTCGAATAATATTTAATACCACAATAAACTAATTTTAAGTATAATAAATCTAAAAAATTTGCAGAAATATCACCTCGTTTTAGTCTGAAAAGTGGAAAATGATCATAGAAGATTGACTGATAAAGTAATGCATTGGTTCAAAATAAACCGTTCATTTATTTATAATAAAGATATCGCCAAATATTGTTAAGCCTTAATCAAACCAATGTTATGATTAAAATTTTGAAAAAAAATCACAATCAATTAAGACTAATTTACTTCATGTAAATGCCATTAAGTGCTGAACATACTAAATAGGAAAACCAGATATATGGCTATGGGCATAGAACTACTTACTTTTAAATCTTAATGCAAATTTGATAGTTTTCTAAATAATCAAAATAAAATTGGATACAGGAACTCACAATTTACTTCGTATAAAAACCACCTGCATGTGAAATCAATCCTACGATATCCAAAACTAGAAGTAAATAAATAAATTATTACAAATAATGTACATACATGCTCAGATTTTTTGATTCTAGTAAAATAAAGCAGATCAGTCACTCATCTGCTTTTTTAAGTTGATTATCTTCACATTCACGACATTTTATTGTGGTTTTACTTCAACCATCCATCTCATCGCAAACTCACATGATTCAAGATCTCTAAGAGAAATATGGAAAACAAGATGCACTACAGTATTCGACAATTATATTATTCATATCGGGGCCTAATCGGTTACAAGACTTACATTGACTTATTAACAAATGATTGTATTAAGGTTGTATTTTTTAATAATCTTACTGTATCATCTACGTTTAATTTTTTGGAGAACAGCTCATACCTCTTCTGAACATTATATATTGACCATCGACATTTTACTTAATAATGGAATATAATTTATCTTAAATGGAAAAGGGTGTCTAGTGCAGTTGTTAGGATCATTTGGTGAGTTTGGACTCAGTACGGGGTAGGTGTCATCTCCTCCCCTTCTGAGAGTTCTACCTCCGGCCTGCGGGCAAAATTGAATAGAAAAATACTGCGACTGCAATGCGCATATTGTGACCAGTCACTACCTCATGAGGTTTATAGAGAGAGAAACAGAGAGATAAGTTTTGTTCAATCAACATGAGCTCTTAACCTCGTAAATTTGAGTCCAATATTAGAGTCTCTGACTAGTGCAAGTACCATTACGGGATTTCATAAGAATCCCATAAATGAATATTGGATTTACAGTTGTTACTGCTTACAATGGACAGATATTTTAGCTACATTGGAAGACCAATTTACGTTGTTGACGAAGCTCTCTCCGTACGCGTCGAATTTTGAGGTTACAATAGCACGTCAGCGTCCACGCGCCGTCATATGTTCGGGTGACCGTATATGATGAAACAGAATGAGCACAAAGGTGAACATAATACGTAAACATTTCTCTACGACTTCTCATAGATCCCTACTTCCCTTTTCACAACATTTGAGGTCCCCTCCAAACTAAAGAAAAAAGAAAAAATAATTTCACAACATTCTAAATCAGAGATGACAGTGATCCAAGTGCGAGAATGAAGAAAGGATGACGAGCAAGGAACACCATGAGTATTATGAGACCTCAAATCCAACGAGTGATATGAACATGGGGTTCCTTTTACTCTACTCATGGTACTTCTCATAAAATCTTTGGTTGGGAGGTTGGTTAGTTGTACGTTGGAGTGGTCCTGAAAGTTAAGAGTTCAGGGACTGTGGATGATGATCGTGACGATCACGAACATGCAGATGTGCATCAGTTGGAAGAAATGATCTGTCGCCCAGAGTGGCTACCCCTATGTTCAGGAAATGAGTACACATCTGCAACACCTCACTTCTCCGCCTTCATCCCAACCCAGGGCTGGCATTATAATTTCGAGAGACATTCTCTACTGTTCTGAGTAACTGCGATTTCCTACACTCTTGCTTGCCGACAGACCGTCGAAAACGTTTCTCTAAAGAACTGTGCCAAAAGTGAGCACGTGAAAACAATGTCCCACAGTACAGTACAAGCATTTTCTTCTGAACGACATGTGGGACTTGGACTCGGAGGTTCATTTCGCACGTTCTATCCGTAAGGCCGACAAAGAGGCAATGTACAACCGCAATTTTAAAGAATTGAAGTCATCGACACCTATCCCTCACTGCTTTCCTCGTCTATGTGGAAATGTGTCTTGAAATAGTTGACGAGACAAAAAGCAAGAGCAGCTGAGGGTGATATTTTCTCTAACATACCTCTAATTCATGTCCACTCCAATAGTGCTCACATGAAGCACTACACTCAGGTACAAATGTCGTGTTTTCAACAAAGCCATGTGTTTTGCATGATTCGTGTCATTGTCCTTTATGTAATCAAGTAAAGGAAAGCGCTTTTCCAGTCGTGAAGACCACGGAATTTGATTCAGTGGACTGTTCAGGACTGAGACCTTGACAATGAGAAGCATGATCTCGATGGACAGGTTGTGTGTTGACTTACTAATATTGCAATGTTTCCTATGAATTGGGATTGATTACATCTTTTATGTAATTTGAGAGGATATTGTCGTTTCAGGCATGGAATAAGTGTCAGGGATGTCAGGTGGGTGATGTTATGGTACACGGTTGAGATTGTCACTTACATG